AGGTAACCGAAGTGATCCGTATGATGCACCAACAATTGGGACATCCGGGACAATACCGGACGCGGTCTTCCATTTCCCAACGTTATTGGTGGCCGGGACTGCGTGAAGATGTGATCAAGTTTTACAGAGAGTGCGACCTGTGTTCGCGGATAAAGTCGCCGACACCATCGGCGAAAGCACCGCTCCAGCCCATAGAAGTGCAAGGACCAAACCACCGTATCGGGGTCGACGTCATTGGTCCCTTACCGACAACCAACAAAGGTAATCGTTATATCCTTGTCATGGTGGATTATTTCACTAAATGGTGTGAAGCTGTACCGATGCCTAATCAGGAGTCAGTCACTATCTCCAACGCTATAGTGAAAGACTGGATTATGAGGTATGGGGCTCCACGTATTATCCATTCCGATCAAGAATCAGCATTCGAGAGTCAGCTGTTCAAAGAAATGTGCGCACTCTGGGGGATGCGGAGGTCTTGCAGCCACTGCAGCGCTTGATGGTCAGTGCGGACGCGGAATGGACGACCAACTATGTCGGTCGGAATTATTGTACGAAGTACACAAGGGATATCTCACGGCGCGTGGCACTATACCGCCTCTCACTCTTGTCGAGGGTTCGGCTGTCGTAAGCTATAACTCGTTCCTGCCCATCTGGGAATAACTGCGATAACACTGCGCTAATTGCGACGTCACTTGCATCGGTATCCAGGATGAAACTTCGTGCCGCCTTTGAAGTATCTGGAAGGCTTAAGATAGGCGGGTTTGTCAATGCAGTTTTCAATTAGTTAAAAACAGATTCACATTCACTAGTCCAGGAAAAGTGCGGTTTTTCACGGTTAGTTTGTGTAGAGGCCTGGTAATTTTCGCTAGCTCTCTGACAAACCTCCTGTAATAAGACGCCAGTCCCATAAAACTGCATACGTCGGCTGCTTTCTTTGGTTGTGGCCAGCTGACAATCGTGTTAATCTTTTTTGGGTCCGTATGTACGCCTCGGTTAGACAGGATGTGTCCCAAAAATTTTACCTGGTGTTGTAACAGTCGGTATTTTGATGTTTTTAACGTTAACCTAGCTTCTCGCAGTCGATTCAACACTTGTTTCAGTCGGGTATTGTGTTCTTGAACCGTGGTTCCGTATATGATAATATCATCCAGGTATATTAAACAACAGGTCCAGGGAATGGGAATCTACCTGGAAAAGAAAGAAATAGATAGAAATATCTTAGGCGCGCATTTAAAATCATCAGGAGAATTTCCGTTGTTGCACGTGTGCGATTCGAAAAGCGCGCCCTTCTGTGCGGTTCGAAAATGTGGCCAACTAGGTTGAATAGATTTTATGGGTATGATAAGTTTATATATATCACATGAGGGAGGCTTGTTGGCTCATATATATAGCTCTCACTCTCAAATTCACGGATTCACCTACTGGTACACAGGATCAAGGCTTTCGCTCAACTTTCCCGGAGCAGTGTTGCAAATTCTGATAACCGCTAACCACCCACTGTCGACTTTGTTCACCTTTGGACTACGGTAGATATTCAGGTGCCCTTTTTGAATGTTTACATGCATATAATGTTTAACTACAACTCATTTCCTATAGCCTGACTGCCGCTTGCCAGCTCGCTTCTAACCTTCGGTCCCGTTCGTCGTCAATATACGGATCACCTGTACTTACGAACAGAGATTATCCATTCTGGTTCATTTGAGTGGGTGTTTGAACATTTTGTCTAAGCATAATGCATCCTATGGCACCAACATGGGACAGTGATTCTACGAGAGTAGGAGTTCACGAATATTTCTGTGGCTGGAAAAAAGAATAAACGTAATAAGCCGAAGCCCGGTCGGCAAGGTCGTTCATCGCCAATATTCGCACGCAAATCAAACAAAACGGTTGACACTGTATAACACACGATACCACAAAGGCCAAACCCGAAAGTGGAAAAAGCAGCAGCCTCCTAGGCGCCGGTATTTCCGAGCATAAATAGGTAAACAGAGTGCAGCACACAATGAAGGCAAATAAATCAATGATGACCAGCCGAACTTGCGTATGAGCGCACCGCGAACGCAACTGAAATGCTGTTGAGTGGAAACGTGGGAATGCAACACAAATGTAGTTGCCCCTGGTGGTGCGGTTTTGAAGTGTGCAAGTACCTGGGCTAATGGGGACGAGGGAATGGCGGTTGGACCTGGGAAATCCAAATCGCCTTTTAAAATGAGCATGCTACTTCAAAACTATCAATACAGGTGGCATTAATTTTTATGAAAAGCCCGATCAACAAGCTGCATACAGATATGAGTCCTTTGGTACGGAATAACAACCCAGGAATCGGGCCCAAAGCACTAGAAGTACTGAAAACGGTATTGTAAGTCTCGCGCAACTAATCCGCCGTTTGTGAAAGTTGTTCTGCTCGTAGCATTGATGCAACAAATTTAAGCTTCCTGGTAGCGTGAGTAACGCGGTCCCGGAAGTGGTGAGACTTGAGCTGTGGGTTGAGCTGCATAGGTGACATCCATCGGAGAGGCGACTGAGGGCTTAATCCATTTCCTTATGCCGGTGCTGAACGGACAACAATGACAAACTGCCTCAGCCTTTTCAACAAACTCGGCGATGCTAAACAGTCGGCTTGCCTTGAACAACCGTCCACAATCGCACTCACAGAGACCTGGCTCAAACCAGATGTCTCTGACGCGGAGACCTCGATAGAGGGTTACTCTATTTTTCGAGCTGACTCAAAACGAGGGAGGACTGGTGGGGTTGCTCTGTACTTACATGCGGCCCTACCAATCCCGACTGTCCTCTCTGACACCACCTCCGCACCCTTTTGCGATGCACTGTTGGTCCAAATCCCGCTGCGCGGGTCCGATTCTCTCGGCGTGGTCTACCGTAGCCCTTCGAGTTCCCCTGAAGATGAACAATACCTCATACAAACACTTGAGCAACTCTCCTCCAACTACCATTTCACTCATCTCCTGCTGGTAGGTGACTTCAACGCCCCAAAGGCCTCCTGGATTGAGCTCCAGCGCGTCGAATCAGGCGGACCTTTGCAACGGCGCTGATTAAAGTCGTTTAACAGAGCGCTTGGACCCAGCATGTCGCTGCGCTCACCACATGCTGCGCAACCACCCTCGATTTGGTCATCACCAACGAAATGCACCTCGTTGATCAGGTAACAATTAACGCTCAACTGGGATATAGCGGCGACTGTGTGCTGACCTTTGGTTTCATCTGCTATTGGGCCAGAAATCCCAAACATCAAACGTGGTTTCGAGACTTCTGCCGTGCAGACTTCTCAGGAATGTGCATCTTCCTTGAACAAGTCACACTGAGACCAGCTCCGGTGAAAGAACTATATAGGACCATTGTCCAGAAAGTCCACGAGGCTGACGCGACGTTCGTCCCAAAAAGCCG